TTAAAGCCCTTTTTAGTACCCCTTATTTTCTCTGTGGAAAGATACTGATGGCTTTAATCAAGTTTTATTTGTCTTTTAAATTATATAAAGAGATTGAGATTAAATTACCTCATTATGAAGCATTTTATTCAGATTTCAACTGTTTTTAGTCTCTTTTACTTTCCCTCTTTATTTTTTATAGCTCTATTTTTTTATAGCCATACAGACCATGAAAGTAAAACCTGTAATCCAGTACTTGTATTGCCATTTCTTTATACAGAAATCAGGTGATCTCCTGTCTCCCATTAATTACGCCTGCTTCTACATGCACTTCTTGCCACAGTACTGCACAGGGAGCACTCGTGTTGACATCCTCGCACACCCTGAGCCATAGATTCTTTTCAAATTGCCTTCCAGCACACTGTTACAACTAGAGCCTGCATTCTTGTTCTGAAATGTATGATTTTTCAGGTGACAGTATTTGAATATATCTTTATACAGATGTCTTGGTCACCAGCTCATTTTTGTGACACTCTTATTTAGCTTCTTTTTTATTCCACTGTTGCACCATATGCAAATTTTATCAGGAATGGCTTGCATATTTATTTTTAGATCAATAATATTGAAGATCATGGTTTCTCTTTGGAATCACAGAAGAACCCCCATGTGATTACCATTCCTAGTAGATAACTACTGTTCCTGAGATTTTAAGTTAGTCAGTTTTAATCTGTTTGACAACTGCTGCATTCATACTGAATGGTGTTAATTTTAAAATCAAAATATGGTACGTTAATTCAAACATCTTGCAGAATATTACACAGCAACATTTATCAACCCAACCTGTAATCTGATCAAAGAATTAAATTTGGTTTTCTTGACACAAAACTCTGTTGATAGACACTAATTATGTTCCTGGCCTTTTCATTATTTACGAGTTGGCTCTTGCAAACTCATTACGTCCACTTTTTAATCTTTTGTTTCCAGTGACTACAATTTCCTTAGGTCAAGGACAATTCTGTAAATCATGATGTTCAGACTGAGTAATAACGCAGAAGGGTAGAGTGAGCGTGTTGGGGCAGTAGGCAGGCAAGGGGGAAGAGGACTAGAAGCACAGAAGTGCCCTCCTCTGCCACTTGTCAGAGTATAAACAACATCCCTGCATAATCCCCACAGAAATTGACTTTCACCTCCACTAAATGCACAGCCAGAGAGAAAAAGGTAACGAACAAAACCCACGTAAGCTACATTTGCATATAGACAATGCAGAGTCGTATTCTGAGTTGTGATACCAAGAAATGGAAGATCTCACGTATAACAAATACGCTGCCTTTTGCTAGTGCAGGAAGAGAGGGGATGGGCATAGAGTGACAGCACTGGAGAACTTCACATCTCCTGCTGGTGGTGGAGTGGGACTCTGCAGCTGCCTTCCTTCAGGGGAGCCCAAGGTGGGGCATGGGTCAGGGTAGAACGGGTATATCTGAGGTATGGACATTCTGCATACGCTGTGTTTGATGTGCTCACCACTCTACAATGGAGGTGCTGTAGCTGATCACTGGCTGCTGTCTTTGAGGACAAAAATCTTCCATTCTGATGAATTTGCATGCACTTCCCTGTGCTTTTAGTCTGCTTATGTGCTGTTGGACCTTAACTGTTGGTGAGAGGCTTAAATTATAGTCTTAACTTTTGAGCAGGTCTTCAAATAATGGGGGTGGTGAGTAGGTCGAGAGAGGTTCTCCTCCCCCTCTACTCTGCCCTGGTGAGACCGCATCTGGAATATTGTGTCCAGTTCTGGGCCCCTCAGTTCAAGAAGGACAGGGAACTGCTGGAGAGAGTCCAGCGTAGGGCTACAAAGATGATCAAGGGAGTGGAGCATCTCCCTTATGAGGAGCGGCTGAGGGAGCTGGGTCTCTTTAGTTTGCAGAAGAGGAGACTGAGGGGAGACCTCATTCATGTTTATAAATATTTAAAGGGTGAGTGTCACGAGGATGGAGCCAGGCTCTTCTCGGTGACAAACAATGAGAGGACAAGAGGTAATGGGCACAAGCTGGAACACAGGAGGTTCCACTTAAATTTGAGAAGAAACTTCTTCTCAGTGAGGGTGACAGAGCACTGGAACAGGCTGCCCAGAGAGGTTGTGGAGTCTCCTTCTCTGGAGACATTCAAAACCCGCCTGGACGCCTTCCTGTGCAACCTCATCTAGGCGTTCCTGCTCCGGCAGGGGGATTGGACTAGATGATCTTTTGAGGTCCCTTCCAATCCCTAACGTTCTGTGATTCTGTGAAAATCTGTCCCTTTTAACTCTTCAGTTTATTAGAGTAACTGGCACATCCAAGGAGAGCTAGGGCTTTTAGTCTTACTGCAGCTATATGGGGAAGTAGGGAATAAATTTTGCATTGTTGCCCCAAACTGCAGATTTCTAAGGTTTACAGGCTTTGCACTGTGTCTTTGTCTAAGAGCGCTGACAGAATTAGGTACAATTTTTTTGCATGTAAGAATTTTTGTGTATGCATTCTGAGTGAGCAGTAAAATATCTAAAATGCCCAGGGAGGCATTTAGGGAGTTAAAACATGAGCAGACTTTATGCATATACAGTTGAACATATTATCTCATTCTGCAGTTTGTAATTATAAGAGAAAAAAATAAACCTTCAAAAAAACCCAAACACCACAGGATATCTCAGTACTAATAAAAATGCAACATGGAACTTTCCAGAGTGGCAGATGAAAGAAAGAACAAAGATACTTTGGGCTAATGCAGTTTAAGAGTTAATAATAGGTAACTTATGATGTGAGTAGAGTACTGAGAAGCAAGACGGCCAGATCCAATGACAGCTGCCATGCTATTGCCCATTCCAGTCACACTTCTTCCTTATTAATCCAAAGCTTGCCTTTGTGATTTTGTATTGACATAAGTGGTGGTAAAGACGGGATTTTTTTAAGAAAAGTGCATAATTTTAATGAAATTATGACTTAGTTACTTAGTATTTTACTTTGAGGAACTAAATCTAACATGTCAAACATGAGTGATTGTCTGAGAAATTGCTGGTGGAAAATTGCAGCAAGTTTTGACAAGATGAAATCTTTAGGGTATGGCAGAATCTGTTGCATATGCAAAGGTTACCCTGAAATGAGATAGACAGGATCTATAGAGGACAAAATATGGAAAACACGTGCTTTGGTAAAAGCTCTAACGTGATGTTTTTTTACAAGCAGTTTAAGAACTCAGTCAAGACAGATGAGCCTGTTTGTTGGGAACTGACAACTTGAACAGTCCAAGAATAAGCAGGATGAAGCAGGCAGTGAATGAAAATAGTAAATTTCCAAGTAAACTACCTAGAATAAGAATGCAATCTCACTTCAGGTTATTTCTCTGCACTAATAAGTACCAGCCTAACAACATTTTGTGACTTTAATGGAGCACAAGTTTGAAAAAAAGCAGCTTATGGTAAAACAAAACAAAACATGAGGTATACCAGCACAACATATAGGAATTTTACACTCTGCATCTTTTTCAAGTCGGCTGATTCAACCTCACATTTTATATTCTGAAACAACAATCATTTTACAAGATAGTATGGAGCCTCAACTGACTGAACTTACACCGAATTAAAAATATAGATTTTTGCTTCTGCAGTTATTCTAGTGGAAGATAAACAGGAAATAGATCGTATAAAGTAGAGATGTTATATACTACATTTGTAACTGCTTTTACAGACAGCCACAGCACTTAAATTCTGTGACTGTCTTCTTGATCTACGTACAACTTGGTTGAGCACAAACTTCCTGGCATTTAGATCTATTAGGCTGAGGAACAGCCTCCTAAAACCAGAGAAGAGGTACTTAAAGATAAGCTGGACAAAGCATATGAAAACACAATGTCCATCTCAAGTAGATGACATTATGCAATAGATCTTTTCCATTACTAAGTTGTATAAATCTATTGCACAGAAAAGAAAGATAAACTAGTGTTAGGCTTTCCAAAGGGAAAAAAATGCTGTTTGTAGTGTAGAGATGGCAGGGAAGTAAAGAGGACTTTTTTCCTGACCAAAACACAGGAATGGATCCTGATGACTGGGTTCTGTTTCTGTTTTCTGCAAAAACTGGTGCATAATCTCAGGAAAGACATTTAGTGTTTTAGTGTCTCATTTTCCATTTTCAAATGAGGCTATTATTTTCCATTAATTTCCAGATTTTCCATCTGACAGAAAGATTTTGAAGTCCAGGCATAAACATAGCTGTGGAGGAGAAGAAAATAGTTTTCTAATAAAAGTTAATCCACCAAACAGCTCTCTGGTTGAGTGGCATTGGTGGAACTTGAAATTTTTCCGTTAAGAAGCCAGAAAGAAGGTGTATAAGCAACCTGATCTATGTGAACGCATATAAAAATGTATGTTTGCATGTATATATTCATACATACATACCTAAAACCATAGAAGTCTAAGTAATCATTTCCACAAGGTCCTGTTCGATATATAATATGACAGTGGAATTTGGCAAATCTACAGACTTTCAGCTCAGAGTCCTCTGTATTGCTTTTCCAGCAGGAAAAAGTCCTTTGAACACACTGCTCTCTCATTTGTGGAGATAAACTGCTAATGAACATTAGTCTAATGATTCCTTCCTTAGCCATTTCCCCATTCTGGAGATTCCTGGTTGATCAAGAGACCTGGAGAATAGACATATTACAGGGAGAGGGAACCCTGTAATTTTGAATTTCAGAACTGGAGGAAGGGAGAAAAGCTGATGCTGTGAATTGTAGTTTGAAGTCTTTCTCTCTGTACAAGAAGGTCACAGTTCACTACAGTATTAAACTTGGAATATTTGACATGCTGACTTGAGATGCAAGTTAGTGTCATAACATATTAATTGGGAAATTGTGTGAAAATGCGGCTGTATGAGTCTTTTAACCGATGATCCTGAAAATATCCTATATATAGTTCTTCCAGAATGTGAACAGTTAGCCAGTGGGACAATTCCTACTTGCTTAACCTTATTGTTAATAAATCTACCAAATCCTCTTACCTGTGTTGCAGGTGTAAGTTCTAATTCTGATGTTGAATCAGAGTTCAAGGCACTCTTGACGTTACTCAGCTCAGACTGTGATCTGTTTTCTGTGGACCTAGAAATAGTGCATTTGCATACTCATCACTGCTCACCAAGACATGCTGCCTTCTGTTTTTCAGGTTCAGAAGCACATACTGATTAATTAGGTTATTTCTTTAAACTGAATTGTTTAACTTGCAGTTATCAAAAGTGCCTGGACCCTTCTCAGTGTTCTCACTCTTACACTTTCCAGTAACATGCAGACAATAGTTAATACAACGGAACAGAGTCAAGCCTGATAGAGCCCTGCATATATATTGGTATGAAATTAATATAATGGAATGAAGACTTTTCCTCTACCACTATGCTTCTACTTCACAGCCAGGCAAAATGAAGCTAGGCAATGAAACAATACTGTGCCTGCAGTCAGTGTTTAAGAATCAGCCATCACATTACGAGACTTCACCTTGGCATATGTGCATTTTTGTGCCACAATATCCTAATATTCTTTCTTCCTAGAAAATGAAACCTTGGAGACCAAAATCAAGTTAATTGAGCATTTGTGTATGGTTCTAAGTTAATGAAACACACAGAGATAAAGGGCAGGGTAAGATACAGGATAAGCATCATTTGGTCAGAAAACTGCTTCTAGCATATGAAAATGCTAATTATAGCTGTGTAATTTAGTGAATGAGTGTTGCTCACATATCAAGAAGGCAGCAGAGTTAATCTATATGAACTGTTCGCAAAAGCAAAGTCCAATTCTTCCTAAATTTACAGCCCCTACAATTTTAGTTGAACTGAGTGAAAGAGGTAGTATCTGGCTAGGATATTTTATCTTGCCTCTGCCAGTCATATGTAAAACCAAAATACCCTGGATATCCACTGACTGTCAGATCACAGCCAAGTATGTGTTTTTATGCATTTTACTCACATGTTTGTAGTTGGTTTTGGATCACTGCATGCCTCTGTAGAATTCTCACCGCCACTTATTTATTAATGGCACCTGCTACTTTTCACTACATTAAAAACTGCTGGCAAAATTTCATTTTATTGTGTGCTTGCTTATGATACATTGTCCAAAATTTCTGCTTAAACTTATTTAATGTAATCATAACAGATTCAATAATATGACTTGTTAACAAGTGAGGATTTCTGTGAATTAAGAGAGCTGGACTGGAAATATTTTTGTAAGGAAAGCAAAAAGTTGTACCATAAAAGCTCTTTTGATGCAGCTCTAGATGATGATGATGTTCGCTGTGTAGAAGGGTGGACCTTGCTACTCCTGTCTCCGTGAAAATTGACGTCATCCCATTTCTCCAGCTGTGTCTGAATATGAACTGAAAAATAAGAAAATAATATATTAATCTTTTAAAGAAACTACTGCAGAAAATTTTATCTCCTCTGTTAAATACAGTTTACAGAGAAAATGGTGCCACCAAATACTGTATTTTAGTTAAGGTCCAATATACAGAAATGTTGTGCACCTTTCTAGCTTATATTCTGTGAAAATATTTGGGAATTCACAAGACTTTTCTAAGTCTATTAGCATTCATCATCAGAATGTCAATGGAACACTCGACTTAAAATCAGTTATTTGTATGTAATTTAGATCTGTTGATAAAATTATATGAAGTCTTTGATAGGTTTGGATATTTTTAATTTCCTAATTATGGTAAAATTATAAAAATAAAACTTCTTTTATTGACTACCATTTAAAAATGACTGTGTAGGCAACAGATATTATTCAGTCATATGTTGGACCTGCTTTGCACAAATCAAATGTTTAGCTCCTGTTTGAAGATAAATTTCTCTAAAAGAATTTCTGTGGTGATAAATGGAAAATTAGCTACCTTGGTATAAATTACATTTACCTTGCAAATTTCTCTGTTGCAGTGCAAGTAATTTAGTTTGGATGGAACTAAATTAAATTCACCTTTTTCAAAGCCCATCTATAGATTATGCTTGGCAGGATATTGAGTTGTGCTCGGGACTTTTTTTTAAACTGTACAAATACAGCTCTTTTGTCTAGAGTGGATATTCTTTTTCCCTAGTATGCATAGACGAAGCAGTATTTACAAATGCCACTTGTATTTCTGACATCTGCAGTTCTGAAAAGGACATCCAGTATGGACCGCCTCTGATTTGTGTTCTTTACCAATTTCTCATGATACCCCTATAGATCATTCTACAATTTTGCTGACCCTGACAAAATGATTTTTGAAAGAATCCTTTCAAAATTTTATTTGCACATTTAGTGACAACTTAATAGGTATAATGGCAAAGGCAAAGGCAAAATGTGTTTACAGTGACTAAGTGTTTTGAGTAGTTTATAATGTGAAACGAAGGTTACACTCCTTGTTAAAATGCTGTGCAACTAAAATTCTGGTGTTGCTTGTTATTTCGTGATAGTAGGAAGGAGAAATATGTGCTGAGCAAGGCTATGTGGCACTGATAAAACAGCTACACTCTTACCTAAATCTAGTGAAGACTTGTCTGAAACTCTGACAGTCTGGGCTTTCTGCTCAGTATCCACACTGATAAGGTCAGAATTGTCTGTCTTCTTTCTGTGGGTTGAAGCTTTTAAGCCTTCACTTCTTGATGGATTCTCTGATTTCTTTGCTTTGTTTTGGGTTTGTAAGACAGGTTCACTAAGATCCAAAAGATCCAGACCTGCTGATAATACTTAGAGACAAAATGTTAGAATTCAATGTTGGTTTGATTTAAATAGCTCACTTTTAAAAAATTTGTTTTAATTGGAAAAAAATTACTAATGTATTTGCATTTGACCAGAGCAGATGTCTATTTCCTGCTTAAAGATGATGACCGGCATATTCTAATATGACTTAGGGATTTCAGGTGCTTAAGTGGATGCAGTTTAAAAAAGCTTGATTTGCATAAAAGGCTTTTCCTCTGAAAATTGTAAAGACATCTTAGGTCTTAAGACTGTGGTCTTACTCCACAGATTTTCTTATGTCGTAAGGGTTTCCTGTACAATTGAGCTTTTAGATAAGATTTGGCTTAATTTTATGATTTATCAAGTAGTGGTAACAGCTGCTTAGGGCACTACTGCTGTGCCACATGCCACTTGCCATTATGGAAAAAGCTGAAGAGTAGAGAGCTTCTTGGGTGGACTTCCTGGCTCATAAAGGAATAACGGTATGTTTAGTAAGCGTTTCCACAGTTGTTGCTGTTTGTCTTTTGGGGGATAAATACTGAATATAATTATAAAGTCTACAGCTAATTCTATTAAGGACTATAGCAGTATAAAAGGCATATTCAGTCTGAGTTCTTAATTTTCAAGTTGCTTAAAGAGTAACATTTACAATTCTTTGGAACATAAAATATAGAAAAACTCCCTTTTTATTATAGTTTTATAGGGTGAGTGTTTTTGACAGATCAATTTGTATTATCTCCTGCAGTGCTTTATCTGTGTTCTTGTTAAATCACTGAATTTCATCAGTCTTCATAGAATTTTTTAGTTTGTTATTAAATAAATCTAATTAACCCCCCAGATCTGATAGATATTCAAGACAGATGCAGGATCTACAGATACTTACTTTTTTACAACAGACACCATTCTTAAAAAAACTGAAATATTTCTGTTCATCCCTGTAATATCTTTAGCTATATATAAAAGGAAAAATATTATTTACAATTGTTATTTAATTCAGTGTCCCAATTTTTGTCATTAGAACTTGCATATTGCTTTAGACACATATTGATTAGATGTAAGGATAAGAATCCAGCTGTCAATTTGTCATTTTAATAATTTGCACGTATGTAGATTTTAATTAAACGGCTTTTAACAAGCCACGTCATTTTATGGGATAGCAATAGAACATAGTAGTACTATGCTGATTTTATTGTATCTCAGTTGATCTGCTCAACTGCTTTGAATACCTTTGCACAAACAGTGAATAGGAGAAGGCCAATTTCTAAAAACACTTCCAAAGAACTATATACTTCAAAGATAATTCAACAATATAATTCAATATAATTCAAAAGGCTTTCAGGATTCACACTTACTTTTTATTATCTGCTCTACTATCTCACCACAACACAAAGGAGCCAAGGAATGTGTTAGATCCTTTCACTAACAAAGTGTCCCAACTCAGCCTTGATAAACTGGTTTGATATCTCTTCCTTTTTCTCTGACATCCCATCCAAGTTTTTATTAAAGAAAAACTTTCTAGAGTAAGGAATAGGTTTGGTTAAATCCAGGCTACATGTGGCTTACCCATAGGTAAAAATTTTGCTAAACAAAGACTGAGAATTGGTCAAACCGATATGTACTTCATGTTGAACTTAAATATGTTCCCTTTAATTCAACCCCAGAAATCTGTTGGAATATACATGATTTGGATCACATCAGATTTTCCCTCAAATGTAATGAATAACGTTTTTGTTTACTAATAGATCGGGCAATTACATTTTAATGCTGGCTTTTAATTTTGTGCAAATAGTAACAAATCAAGAAGTCACTTGACAAAAATGTACCATAATGAAGATGAACCTAAAATTATTACTCTCTAGTGAAGGATAGTAAAGAACTTTGTTTACCTGCAGTGTTTGATGTTACAGGCCTTGCAATAGCTTCTGGTTTAGTTTCACAGAGAAAGTCATCAATGGAGGGGCTCAGAAGGGGTCTGCTTTCTTGTTGCTCATTCACCAGCTAACAACAAAAAACCCAAGGTCACAGAGTGTTGGGATGCAGATTTTAAAGAAATAAAACATATTGTCACAATATCTTGCGCTTTATTTTTGATTGTGAGAGTCAGAGATTGCAATTAGAAGATGTACAAATAGCTCTGGGCTTAAAATAAAAAACTTTAGTTACTCTTTTGGGGCAAAATTATATTCCAGTTTTACAAACTACACAAAAATAAAGCAGCAAGGTGAATTTTCTGTACCAATTATTGCATACTTATTGTTTTAGGGCTAACGTATAAAAAGCCTGATGTAACTCCATTCAAACCAATGGGTAAAGTTGGCTGCCTCTATCACCAGGAGACTAAGCAGGGCTTTTTTAGTATTTGGAAATAGTCGTTTTTTTCACCAGTAACATGCCCATCACAGAACCATAACATCTAGCAAATGTGCATTAGCCCATTAAACAATAACCTGCTGAGACAGAAAACACTTCTCTGCAGTGCAAAGACATATGAATGACAGTGGATGGAGCCTGGTGAATGTATGAGCTTCCTGCATGAGTTTTGGCTGTGTGAAGATTCACAACATGGTTTTTATTTATGAGCAGTTTCCTTTTCTACAGTAATTGCATGAATGCATTGGTTTTCTGCTACCTGAAAGAAATCTGTGTATTACAGGCTATTTCATGTATTAGGGATTAAAAATACAAAACAGTAAAACAGTCTCAGAAATAAGAGTCTCCTCTCCACAATCTCTCTCTGATTGGAGGATCAAGTCATAAGCTGAGCTGGATGGATGCCTGATGGTGTGGCCTGCATTTACTTTATCTTTAATAATGTGAAAACATGTTGTCCCTCTGTCTGTTGCTTTCATCTGAAGCTCTTTCAGCTTTACTTTTATCCTCTTCGCTCTACTTCTCTCTGTTCTCACTCTTTTTCTGTTGTTGAATTTTCAAAATTTTCTCTCAGATATATTTGAACTTTTAAATTTAGGATCCTGAGATGGACTAAAACTGTCGAAAAAGGTATTTACTCATCCTTATTTTACATTTGTTAATTCCTGGCATTTAGCTACTCCAGTAGCATGATTACTGCAGGAGTTATTACAGAAAAACAGCTTAAATTCACTGTTGTTTAACATTTGATTTCTGTATTACGAAGTTGCAAGAAAATACTGGAGCTATTGAAAGAAAAAGTCCATTATTTTGAGGGATCAAACATTTAAGCTGGTCTCTAATGCTGACTGACTGTATAATATGTACATTTGTTCATTTGCCCAGGACCTTACAATTCTGCACTGAAATACCAATTTACATGGAAGACAGATGAGTGATTGCCTGCCCAACTGTGTGTAGCAAAACGTGCAAATGTGGGCACTTAATTCAGAAATGTGGCAATGATGCTGTCCCAAACTCTAATTCTGCATATGCTAAACCCTGACTGCAGATGCCCCTCACAGCTGACTTAATCATGTGGGTTTTTTCTCTCTCCAAATTGATTGTTCAGGTTGCTGTCTCATTCAACACACAGAAGCTACTTGCTTAATTTGGTAAATCTCAATGATTGATTGGAAATTGTATTTATACCAGCTGCACACCTTTGATTTCCATTAAAGGTGACTTACAGTACCCACATTGTCTTCAGGTGTATATTTTAACCTAATACTGATATTTAAGACTTAAGAGGATGTTATTTTTCTGGTAATGATTTGGTGAGAGTCCTTACTCATTTCTATTGGTGAAAAAAATGAAGGTGGATGCCCAGTTAATTCTTGTCCAAATTACTTTCAATACTTTAAAAGTTTCTTATGATCAAATCCAGATATCAGCAAAAATTGCTTGAGTGCGTTTTTCGTTTTGCATTTACACATCCCATTCTAGGAACTAGCACTGGTGACAGCTGCTGCACTTTTGCAAGAAGTTGCATATTCTGATGAACATAGCATCTTAATCTTCAACGATCTATTCTGATATACTAACAGCATAAAAAAAAAGGTCCTATACCACTTGGAAGGTGACAGGAGGGAAGAAATAAGAGGTTCTCTAGGAATCACTGTAAAGATAAAAACTTCATAGAAAATATTCTGTTTCTGTATCTATAAGAGTTTATCAATAGGGTACATTATCACTATTTGTATGCTTATCACATTTCCCATTACAGTCCATGGAAATTTTCTTTAATAAGAAAGAATGGGAGAAGGAGGGAATTAAGAAGGATTATGAGACCAAGACAGCCGAGATCACTCACTGGAGACAATGAAGAATAGAAAATCTGAAGACCCACTGGAAGGCAATTTATTGTCCAAAGGTGTAGCGGGAGTAACAGGATAAACACTGGGAAGACCAGCAGTAATGCTAAGAATCAGTCATGGAGGGGAAGGAGACTAGAATCAACAAAGATCTGAATTTCTCCAAGGTTCAACTGAAGTATAAAGTAGAAGAAGTCTTCTTTCTTTTCACAGCTAGTTATCATATCCCTAGAAATGTCTTTATTATGTTGTTTATATAAGGAAGACCTGTTCAGCAACAGGCCTTCATTAGTCTGATACCAGCAATGTATTGTTCAAAATTCCTTGATAAAATTCTACCATCAAACTGAAAGAAGATTGGTGGTCATATCCAGTTCAACAATTTTGCCAGAAAACACCAAGCTTTAATATTTACTAAGTTGTGCTTTCTTTCTGCTGCATTTATATTATTTAATTAGAAAACAAATAGGTTCCTCGTCTCTTTCTTACTTTGTGAACATATATGCTAAATTAATCAGAGATGGGCCACCTAAATGATCAGAAGAATAAAGAATATATCTTATAGAGAGACTAAGAGGATTTGACTTGCTTAGGCCAATAAAATGAACATTGAGTAGGAATATAATTATTCTTTATGTATACATAAAGGGAGAGTGGTTAGATGACAGTGGAGGAGGAAAGTTATTTCAGCTACACCGAAAGGCTAGCACAACAGAGAGACCTAAAGCAGCCATGAATAGATCTGCTCTAGGAATTAAAAGAATCTTTCTAACTATCACAACAGTGAAGTGTATGAACAGTACTTTTTTAGGGTAAGGGGACAAAAAGCCCATTTCTTTAAAATGTCTTTTGACAAGCTTTCTACATGGCTGTTTATGAGGTGAGTGCTTTTGAGAAGTGGACTGTGGCCCAGAGGATCCCTCCCAGTCCTTTGTTTCCATGACTAAGGACTGGAAGCGGTAGGAGTGTCTTATTAAAATGTGTGAAAAATAATCTGCTTTCATCTGAAATATCTGGGTGTAGGCAGATAGTAATACATGATCAAGTCTACTAATTCTCAATAAATACAAACTACATATGAATAGCAAAACAACTTATTACAAAAATATGGTTTTTATGTGAGGCAGACATTTCATGGTGAATCAAACCTCAACAGGTTAAAAAGTGCCATGAGCTGGTATTTTTGCTGGAGGCAAGCGGGCAGTGGGGTTGGTTTCTGAAATCATCATGTATGCAGTGCTACTTGGTAAGCCCTCACTCTCACACTTTGAATTTCGTTTTGCTGCCTCATATATTGTACCAAATTTATCCCTAGTTTAACTCTGCTCAAATTATTAGAGTTAGATCAGGCATGAATTTGGAGTAGTGCTATAAAACATTCATGAGTTGAAAACTATTATCTATATTAAAGTAATAATTTATGGTTCTCAAGCACCTTTCAAGGTGAATATCACAGAATGCTTTAAAACATTCATGAATCAACCCTGGCACCACTGCAGAGCTGAGAAGTATTATCTCTACTTTGCAGACAAGAGAAGCAAAGGGAAATTAAGAAAGCTGCCCAATGTCACCCGGCACTGGAGGAAGGGGCACTGGGAACAGGAGCCAGGCGGCTGGCACTGCATAGTGTTTGTGTGTGCAATATTTGTACACATGCCAAGCAATATAGACTCAGCCTGTGAAACTGTTGATTTCTGAGTACTAATTTAGCCAGTGAGTGCCATAAATTCTCATAATGTCTCTAAGAACTTTATTTTTCTTTATAAAATTCATTTTAAATAAAGAAAAAGCCTACACACTCCTTGAACTGAAGGATATCCATCTGTGGAGGGTGATATTCCCTACTACTAGTACATCTGAAAAAATTAGTCCATAGTATAAAATACTCTCTCTAAATTAAAATAAATTTTCTGTGACTGGCTTCTGCAGGTGGATAGCACAACAGAAAAATGTGCTTTTTTCCACCCCAGTACTGCTATTGGACTCTTTTGTTCCAAAAAGCATATCTGTGGGGTTTGGTGCTTTGGCAGAGAGCCTAGGAAAACCAAAAGTGTTGTCTGATGGCTGATATCAGCCAAACTCCTTAAATATACTCAAAATAAGGATTATTTAGCAGAGAACTGGGGCAAAGCGCAGAGGCTAGGTCAGGAAGTGGTGTCTGCTGTACTGAAGGCCATGTCTACCATATTTCCCCTCAGAGCCCAGGACTGCCTAGCCTGTGCTGATCATCTGGTCTCCATTTTCTGTGCTCTGTCACCCCCTCCATCCCCAGCTGTGGGCATTTATTCTGCTGATGCAGTTTATAACCTGCAGCTGCCTTTGCTGCCGAATTTCCCTCTAACTGTTGCTTGCTTTGGTTAGTGGTCTCTATGCTGCCTCCAGAGCTGCTGTGAGAAGAGGAGCAGGGGAGAGCAGTGGCTCATGGAGGTTCCCTCTCTGGGTGATCCTAAGGCCTGAAGGGTAGATGGGAGCCCAAGGAATGGTGCTGGTATGGGGACAAAAATATCAAACCCTAGGTGGGCCTAGGTGAGCTGGGGCAGGAGGGGAAGGCATTGCTGTGGATGAGCTGCAAAACTGGCTCCCTGAAAGGGAGCAGCAGCCATGAGAGGGATTTCTTTCTTCTAGCCAGTATCCAGCCTAGTCATAGCTTCCTTCAGTCACTCATCCAGCAACTATTCCTCTGCCCTGCAGTCACCCCTAAATCCACCTAAGCCTTATTTTCTCCCCTTGCCCCCACAGCAGCTCTCTGGCTGGTAAAACACTTTCCTGGAGCCT